GGGTAGCGTGAACCTTAGGAAATAGCTAGGTGAAAAGTTGTAAAGCTGTACAAAAGTAAATGAACCATAGGGTTGAACTAGGTGAAAGTTGTAGGTTTGCACAGATGTTTTTGGTTGGTTCCAGAAATTTCTGGAACCAACCAAAATGCAGAGCAAAGTATGCTCTGCCGTATGAGTGAACTAATAATTATTGTAAAAAAGCTGCTTGGTTTTTCTGAAGAAAATCTGACAATCAGTAAAAAGTGACTGTTTCAGAAGGGAGCGATAGTTTGCTCCGACAAAGTGCGGATGGTATGTGGTGCAGAAAACATACTGTTTGTTCTTATGCACCGAGTCTGTAGCTTTATTTACAAATACTTGCGGTTTGGGCTCTACAGCAATGAATAGCGTACCCAGGAATTCGGGTGGATATCCTCGTTTTCTGAGTCTGAGCCAGAAAAGCTTGCGAATCTTGAGAATATCCTCTAGTAGCTGGTTTGTACGGTTGTACCGGATGAGCTCTGCAATGATAAATGATCTAAGATTAGACCGGGGGTGGTCTGATTTGAACGGGATGTATAAATATGCATTCCTGTCTTTCTGGAAAGTTCTGTAGGAGAATCTATCCGCATCTATCTTAAAAATTTCTAAATCTAGAAATACGGCTGTAGAAGAAACTTCAGACCAGGTGAGCTTAATATCAGATAAATCGCTGTATACGACGGCATCAAATTTTATCCTATCGAAAGTCTTGCTAACAATTAAGCATAGATCGTCAATGAATCGTCCAAAAAAGTAAACTGATGAACGGAAACTTTGAAGAGCTTTTTTCTCGTGCATAAAAAGAAAAATATTAGCAACGTTGACGGCCATTGGGGTACCCATGGCCATACCGAACTCCTGATGGAAGAGCTTTTCCTTAAACTCAAAATAATTGTTTTCTAGGACAAATTCGACTAGGTCTACAATAAGAGAGCGTAATGGGTGTTCGGCTTCTGCAAGGAAATCATTGATAGCTGCTACTGTGTCTGACCAATGCATGTTAGTGTACAAACTGGTGACATCGGCTGTAACAATCATAGCATCAGCAGGAAAGTCTTTACTGGATAGAACATTTGTGAGACTATGAGTGTCCTTGAGCACAGTGTTAGCAGGCGTCTTGGCAAACGCTTTACATAAATAGTGGTCTATGAGGCGAGATGCAGGTGTGGTGCAATAACCTAAGCAAGACACTATGGGTCTACCCTTTACAATGCCATTAGGACCTGGAGCCTTATGTATCTTAGGGAGCATGTAAAATTTCGCTGGTTTAAAAGGAAAACTTGCGAATAGTGCTCTGACATCTTTAGGGGAAAGTAGTGGTTCATGACTCTTCACGATGTCATGCAGAGACTGTTCAACGTAGTGAAGCTCTGGTACTATAGTGTCCAGATTAACTAAGCTATCACCTGGCGTGGGAATAAATCTGTAGTACTTGCAATCAGACAACTGTCTGTAGCCTTCTGCTATGTAATCCTCTACATTTAAGACAACTGTGCCTAGATTCTTATCAGCGTTAGCAATGACAATATCTGTTCGGCTGTGGAGACTACATAAAGCAAGTTTCTCACCGGGTGATAGGTTGTTTGGGCGATGTATTGAGCGAGCAGCAGTAACACCAGCTGTTAGTTCAGTCCTGAATTCTAGCAAAGCTGTTTCTGTGGCGATGGACACACGCGGTGGTTGTCTTGACGACCGTAGATGAAAACTGCGTATGTAACCATCATCACGGCGGGTGGTGTTGGTGAAGACCTCACCCCAGCAAACATTGTGCTCGAATTTAGCGATATCATTTGTGAGCTGGTCAGTGCTGGGCAGTCGGCCGGTTGGACGGAAGTTGGACCCATAGCCCAACACTTGGCGTTCTGCATTAGAGAAAGACAAACTGGAGTAATTGTGAAAGCCAGAGTTAGTAACGAATAGAGCATAGTCACGAAGGTTTAGATTCCAAATATACCGTAGGCGGCGGTCGCCTATCGTTTTGTCACATTTCTTCGGGCAGCTGGATTGGATTGCTTCTTCTTTACCTGCGTCCATCCGCCATCGTTTTTTGACGTCGGTTGTTTGGATTGGCGTTTCGTTTCTCTTGGCTAAGGAAGATGCATTGAACTCCCGACACAACAAGAGCACAGTAATTTTAGTTATAATTCATACATTTACATTTTAATGGAAATTTCTGGAACCAACCAAAAACATCTGTACAAACCTACAACTTTCACCTAGTTCAACCCTATGGTTCATTTACTTTTGTACAGCTTTACAACTTTTCACCTAGCTATTTCCTAAGGTTCACGCTACCCATGTGTATTAGCCACATTTGCGCCAAGACAATTATTTTCAAGTACTGCATTGCTACACGCTCAGCTACTGGTGCATAGCGCAACATGACTAGCAACCTTCTCCACTTTACACTACTAGTATGCCAATTCATGCCTACCGTGTACATGTATATAAGCTAGTGTTTTCTACCTCATTCTTCATCCTCTGATGAAGCATTCTAATTGCAGAAACCGGTCAGGTATCCATTAAAATGTAAATGTATGAATTATAACTAAAATTACTGTGCTCTTGTTGTGTCGGGAGTTCAATGCATCTTCCCTGGTTTCACTGCCTGTTTTCGTTGCTTGTCATGTACTCGTGTTTAACCCTCGAAGTGCCATTGAGCGGGAATCAATGTGTCATAACTCAGCTAGACCTCCACGGATCTTTACAAAATTTGGCTCTGTGGAAAGATATCAAGACCAGGTAGACAACTAGAAAGCGAAGATGCAGCGAAAATTGTCTTCTTCGCGAGGATGACTGATCGAAGTTCGTGCTCTGCATTTTCGTAGCATTTGCGCTTTCCCACGCGCTCGATCGAGCGCAGCACAGTCAACTTTCAGCGCGGATAAAGTTGACCTGAAAGCCACTCAGAATCTCGATGTTTCGATTGCCGTGAAAAAAAAAATAACAGCGATGCTCATACTTCATGTTTTCTACTCGCGACAATTGTTTGTCCGAGTGGCACACTTCAGGCTTCGCCCTGGCGACATCTATATTCTTTGACACAAAACGATGTGATGAGTCGATAGCCAAGGTCTTCCTGAACGCGTAGACTGGTCATTTGTAACTATCCTGTGTTTTAGAGGTGGAGATACGAAAATATTTGTACACACATAATCATTCTGGTCGCCTCAAGTCGCCCTTAGCAGTACAAGAGACCGAGTACAGTATAACACTTTCAATGTTGTGACTCCTTAAGTCACCCTTAGCAGTACAAGAGACCCAGTACAGTTTAACACTTTCAATGCTGTCACTCCTCAAGTCACCCTTAGCAGAACAAGAGACCCAGTACAGTTTAACACTTTCAATGTTGTCACTCCTCAAGTCACCCTTAGCAGTACAAGAGACCCAGTACAGTATAACACTTTCAATGTTGTCACGTGGTTATCAGGAGCGTTGCTGTTGTTTTAATCAGGCACGCGGGTATTTTGTTCTGTTTTCAGAAATACTTTGTGTGCTTAGTTTGAGACCTCTGTAATGTTAGTTTGTGAAGCGGAGGAAACGTTGTTGGCGCAGGCAAAGCTTTGAAATGTGGTGTGATGTGTTTCTTGACGTTAATGTGTGTGTGGGTGCGGGTTTGCGTGTGTGTATGCGTGCGTGTATGCGTGCGTGTGTGTGTGTGTGTGTGCAGCATTATAGTAATAATGCAGATTGATGGGTGCACGCGGCTGCTTCCTGCTGCCACTATGCTGCTATGATTGCTAGCGCTTTAACTGCATGCTCATGCTTTGCTGCTGGCTACAGTCACGTGCACTGTACATCACGGTAACCATGTCGGACAAACGTCTTGGTGCATGCTCACATGGTACTCTATGCGTTGTGGCATTCTATGTGTCATTCAACGTGACACTCAATGTGGCATTCATTCATGCACGACGCTGAACATAGGCGGCATGCATCGTGGCATGCTAAAGTTGGCCTAGTTATATATTTCGATCCGTTCTGTGTGTGGATCACTCTTGTCAGATCGTTGTGTTTCACCCACCCACCTCCCTTCTCTCATCTCTTATTTGCTTTGATAAAGAAAACAAACGGGTGTTGGCCATTTCCGGCTACTCAGGGCTCTCTGTCTTTGTCCCTCGGACATCACTATCGTCTTGGCTCCGCCAAGATCCTGCTCTCTCTGTAGCCCCTCACTGGCCAGCACCCTCCAAACCGCAAGCTGTTGTGTGTTGTAGTTAATGTGTGTGTGTGTTCGCATGTGTTCATGAATGTGTATCTGTGTGTATGTGTGTTGTGTTCGCATGTGTGTATGCACGTGTATAAGTGTGCGTGTATGTGTGTGTTTGTGAGGGTGCTTTCGCGCGCGCGCGCGCGCGCGTGCACATGTGTGTGTGATGTGTGACGTGTGAAGTAGTTCAATCAACTGCGTGAAGTAGAACAGGCAAAAATTAGTGGCGGTCAATTCATCAGCTTTGTAAGCTGGTTTATGGTGTAATCGCAGAACACGTTCCTATGTCCAACATAGTTTTTTTCGCTGTCGTCGCTTCAGATTTGGGCATGTGTGTGTGTGTGTTGTGTGTGTGTGCAGGTGTGTGTGCATGTGTGTGTGCATGTGTGTGTTTGTGTGTATGTGTTGTGTGTGTGTGTGTGCATGTGTGTGTTTGTGTGTGTGTGTGCATGTGTTGTGTGTGTGTTTGTGTGTATGTGTTGTTTGGGTTTGGGTGGGTGGGTTGTATGTGCCAGTGTATTTTTGATGGGTGTATGTGAGTGTGTGTATTTGTGTGCATGTCAGTGTGTGTGTGTGTGTGTGTGTGTGTGTGTGTGTGTGTGTGTGTGTGTGTGTGTGTGTGTGTGTGTGTGTGTGTGTGTGCATGTCTGTGTGCAGATCTGTGTGCATGTCTGTGTGCAGATCTGTGTGCAGATCTGTGTGCAGATCTGCACATATTTGCCTCCATTCATGAATTCCCCCTGCATTTTGTGTTTGCTGTTCTCTGTAGTGCCACAAGGTTTCTTCACCACTGTTGTGGTTTGGCTGTATTCAAGGACTCAAAGATGGCGACAATGAACAATCGTTCGGGTAGGTCCCTGTTGGCTTCTATCAATGTGTAGGTTGAATACAAAGTTGAACGTATCCTTACCAAGTTACTAGCCATGCCTGGGTCATGTCAAAGCTGACTTTTTGATCTACTTCGATCCAGCTCCATGGGTTCATTCATGTTTCTGGGCCTTACCTCTGTGGCACTGGTCAACATTCCTCGGGTCTGGTATCCATTCCTGGAACAAAACTGTAACACATGCGTGCACCACACAGCCTACTCAAATGCGTACTGGTCTGCTTCATATCATTTCGATGGGGCAGACAACTGTCAAATTTGGAAGGGGAAATTCCCAGTTCACATTCCACTTGATTTCTTTACTTGAACATAGTCCAGAACAAGTTTTTTACGAGATCTGGAAGAGTGTTGCTGTGATCTGTGGCACCAGCGTTCCCGTAAGGGGAAGCAGAACTTGATTCCCGTAACGTAAAGCAGAACTTGCTTCCCGTAACGTGAAGCAGAACTTGCTTCCCGTTACGCGAAGCAGAACTTGCTTCCCGTAACGTGAAGCAGAACTTGCTTCCTGTAACGTGAAGCAGAACTTGCTTCCCGTAACGTAAAGCAGAACTTGCTTCCCGTAACGTGAAGCAGAACTTGGTTCCCGTAACGTGAAGCAGAACTTGCTTCCCGTAACGTGAAGCAGAACTTGCTTCCCGTAACGTGAAGCAGAACTTGCTTCCCATAACGTGAAGCAGAACTTGGTTCCCGTAACGTGAAGCAGAACTTGCTTCCCGTAACGTGAAGCAGAACTTGCTTCCCGTAAAGCGAAGCAGAACTTGGTTCCCGTAACGTGAAGCAGAACTTGCTTCCCGTAAAGCGAAGCAGAACTTGGTTCCCGTAACGTGAAGCAGAACTTGCTTCCCGTAAAGCGAAGCAGAACTTGCTTCCCGTAATGTGAAGCAGAACTTGGTTCAGGCGAAAGATGATATTAGCATTGTACATGTATGTCATAAGATCACACCTGGTATTGATTAAGTCAGCGAGAGTCACACTGCCCATACGGTTTGGAGCACTGATGACGTCATTCTGCTCACACATGATATTTTACCAAAGGAATCGATGAAATCATTCAGGTCAATACTGAAAATATTATTATTTGGTTGAAAAAATTGATGTATGTCAAAGTTAGTGCAGGAATTCTGCACGTGTTGGGTACACCCACTAGATCTGCCTGCAATAGTGAGGTGCGTAATGTTAACGGGCATGTGTGTGTGTGTGTGTGTGCACGCGCACGCGCATGTGCGCCCGAGTATGTGCGTATGTGTGCGCGAGTATGTGTGTGTGTGTGTATGTGGATGTGCGAGTTGTTTGTTCCTTATTTCCCGGTCGTGAACATGCGGTCTGTTCACAGGATATTTGATTCTTGTTGCCGCCCTTATCGCCTGTGTTCCATATTGCAATGGTAAGTGTCTGTACCTCACGACATCGTTGAAATTTTCCAGACGCTAGTACGCCAAACACTGAAAAATGGGCACATCTACTCAATATGACAAGAAAATTGAACTGACAATCCTTGTCACTACACATTACAAGCATGTTCTTCCCTGAACGGCTAGAATTTCACTAGCAGTTAAACTCTACAGAAGTGGAAACAATTGAGCAAATCAGCCGCTCAGATCGGGTCTGCCTCAGACAATTTTAGGAAATTAGGCACAAAATCCAGCATTAAAAAAAAGTAAATCATTATGTCCGTTCCTGCTAACACCAGGTAAACCCTAGTGGCAGATGCAGCACCTAACGGTGGGGGTGAGTGAATGTGGAAGTCTCACAACCATTGGCAAAAGTGTCAACACCATTAGCTGCATCCATGTTCCCCTTGTGCCTGGCCACACGTTCCCAGTTGACTGTGGGTTGCAGCATTAATGGGAACTTATGGCAACGCTTCAATCCAGCTATATCCAGTGGCAGTCAGGTCAAAACTAGGAGATGAAGTTTTGTTCCTTTTTTAGGTGCAGGACGATGATTAAAAGACACAATGATGTACCGTGCGGGAAGATTCCAATCACTCAAAAGAGTGGACACCAGTGCATCAGAGTACATGGGAGTTCCAAACCCTTGGGAGAGGGGGGGGGGGGGGGGGCTATACTCTAGGTCATGCCAGTCGTCGTTGGTGTAATGTCAGGGGCATCGGAATCGGTGATTTCAGAAATGGACATTCTGAAAATCCATCCTACGTGTTTTGCACCCCTAAAAAGTATAGGGGCATCCCACACCTGCATAAGACTACATGTCTGTACAGGACTACAGGTTGTGCCACAGTCAATGCACTCTATAGAGCCAGACCAACCATAACTTCATACTTGGTCCGCCCAGTTACAATTGGCGCTTATCTTCACACTTGTCTCAGGAAGGAAATACGAATATTTGAAGCAAGCCCCGATCACAAAGCACTATGTACATGATTATGTACATGTCAGTAAGCAACGCAGTCACAAAGTCAAGCAAGTTACACATCCTCCTCGCCACTATCTTTGCTGGAGGAAGAGCTCAAAACGTTCGACTGGTCAGCTGCTGCACGTTTCATAGCTTGTTCTTTTTCTTGTCTCGAATCACGCTCAAAGGCAGTGCATGCCTGTCACCTTGCCGATCAAAAGCTGAGTGAGATTGCCCGCATGTTGACTGTAAGTGTTATAATCCCCGTTTGTCGCAATAATGCGTCTTTGTTTGAGACAAAAAGGCAATGCCATATCAGTGTCCTTTTTTCAAATCGCCTCTTGCGCTTGTCGTACTTGCTGATCAGTGCCAACGCGAGCCGCTGGTGCTTGTACATGCAGCGCAGTGATAGCTTCCACTTGATGTAGCACCTGTGCATACTGCACCTAAGTCCTAATGCCGTGCACCAGGCTTTTCGGCTAGTATTAGTAAGTAATTAGTTTCCTGAAAGTCCTTTGCACGGGTGGTTCCCTCAGGCCTTGGTGTTTATTTTGATTAGCTCCTTTGCCCTGTCCTCTGTGAGCTTCAAAGTGTGTCCGCCGGATTGGTCTCACTTTCTGGAGATGTCGACATGAGCTGCAGTTTCTTCGTCAGCGATTTGCTGGTGATAGCCCTTCACTAGGCGCTGTACTGTGCAAGCACTGAAATTCAAGCTCACAAAGCGCTTTTCAGCTTTTCTATACCTCCCCGGGGTAAACAATCCTTGCCATCAGGCAGCTGGAAGTAGACAGAAACTGTGTTCTCCATCGCTATGAAATGCGAACATCATGACCTATTTTACAGACTCGAGCGGAGTTTGCAGTGTTTTCTTGCGCTGACGGAGTGTTCGTCGGCGGCAGCTCCGTCAAAAAGACTCAAACAAACCGATGGCAACTTCTGTGATGGTTTGTGCTGTCATGTCGTCAGATGCAATGGTCAATGGTTATGTTCGGATGGTGAATCGGTGGTTCCATGCCGTGTGACACAGGCGGAACACCAAAAAACCAAGTGAGAAGACAAACGCCAATTTTAACTTAGCGGACCAAGTATAAAATAAAAGAATCAAGGAACTACTTCCTCCGCGTCATCGAAATTGTCGCAGTTTGACTAGTGACTTGTCACTTGTTACTGACAACTCTATAAGCTAAGCCATTCAAAACTCATTACACAGTATGATAGTCTGAAGACTAGAGTAACGTTCCAGGACAGTTGGACTGAGAGTTTTCATGCAGAGATGAAGTCCTCGTCGTCCCTGATGTCAATGGACGCAAAAATCTCGTTCCGAAATATTTCAAGGAAGGTTGAAAGTTGGTCACGCCTCATCTCAAACGCTTTGACTTTCTCCACAAGACAAGAGCTGCTATGCTTGTCGTCTGCTAGCTCTGGATGATTTCTACTTCACCACCAACGAAGCCTAGTAAGAATACACGATCGTTGCGAGGTCGGTTGATTACATGCATCACTAGGCTCTAGCACTACGTGTAGAGTCCACACGGTTCTTGCAGGTACAATCATGTACTGAGTGTCTCAGCCAGAGCGACAATTTTTCTCGCTGTTGCAGGCATTTAGTTTGCTGACCCCTCGATGTTTTTCCAAGCGCTGCCACTTGTTTCACGAAGTCATTCTCACCCCAGCTAAGGTAAAACATTGATGAGGCTTAAATGAATGGCCATAAGCTCGAGAAATGTGCAGGCTGCAACGCCTGACTGATCTCAGCGAGTCGAAATTATCATCGCAGCGACATCATCGAAGAAATTGCGTCTAGTTCAAAAATTCCAGCTTCCAATAACAGAAAATAGAACTTTGCCGTCACCCTATACTGATGACTATCGCCTATGTCCAATTCCTTGCCTCTGGTACGAGTGCTGGTAAGTAAATACCCCGTTTTATATCAAAAGTCAAACTGCGACAATTTCGATGACGCGGAGGAAGTACAAGTTACACTATAATGTCCACTAACACCACCAGTTACTAAACAATCAGCTCATGCGATAACATTGCACGACACTGACTGACATTCTACAACTAACTGGCTAACAGCTCTAGCACATCTCGGATGCGCACTCCAATAGCCTTCCTGCTTGGAAGGTTCTAAGTTATAGAAATAGCATAAGGAGGGGAAGGTGAGTGCAACCAAGATAAGCATGAGCTGAAAGTCTTAGCTGTGAAGGACTTTGGCGGATGTTCATGCATATCGATGGCAATACTGGCAAGACCATTGGTCAATATCATCAAAACCACAATTCAAGTACGCAAAGCAACACCCCACACAATTTGTGTGGCTCAAAAGGTGCGAAGATAACTTAGAACCTTCCAAGTTGGAAGGCTGTTGGAGTGCGAATCCAAGATGTGCTAGAGCTGTTAGCCAGTTAGTTGTAGAATGTCAGTACGAGGTGAATTGCTATTTCTGGACATTGTACATTTCTTGACATTTCGAGTAAAATAATTTTTCGTGGCTTGTAGAGTCAAGTCAGTCGAGTTGATGAAGTTTTTTCTTGCCGTAGTTGACAGCTGGGCGGTTGTAGTTTCTCCTCGTGTCAGTACCTTGTTGATAGCCTTTGCTTGTGCGATATTTCAACGGGTTTTGTTGTACTATGTCGCATGAAAATTTTGAGTAAAATAAGAAGTAATGGACGAATTGTTGGCCTCCCCATGTGCACTCCACTTCAGACGCTGTATAGTCTTGGACTTGTTGGCTAGAAGTGTGAAGAGGCCAACTGCAGTCCACCAATAGAAAAAATAACAAAAATGGTGCAGTATAGGATGCCTATCGATTCTATTTTTTACTTTCATGTCCAGAATTCCATGCACTGAAATTTAGGCCAAAATATTGGCCTGTCCAAACTTACCTGCTATCAAGTGTCTGTGATCACAGCATGAGCAATTGTCACATATTTGGAAAGATAAAGGATTAGGCCATACAATAAATTTAATACAAAGATATAAGAAAAATGTATAACATATAGCCAGTAGGGCTCTATTTCATTTTCATTTCCAGAAATTTCTATTCACCTCGTACCATAGGTCAGTGTCGTGCAATGTTATCGCATGGGCTGATTGCTTAGTAACTGTTGGTTGTTGAGATGGGCAACAAACCGATCCAGAGTCGCTGATATAAAGGCCTCTTTTACGGGCAAACAGAATACAATTGACAGTGGCATGGCGAATGATTAGAACACAACACCAAAAAATGAAAACAATTGCATGCGTGAAAAAAACGCAAAAAACGACAGAAAAAAACAAAAAAACAGGAAAATACAAGGGCACTGTCCTGCCCACCATCGTCTCCAAAACCTCACAGCCGGCCCTCCGAGATTGCCAACTCTCGCAATGCATTCACAGGACGGTGATATGACGATCGAGCACCGCGGATGCACATGATCGCCGACCGCAACAATGCCAGAGTCGCTCGTCCATGTCGCCAAAGCATGATAATTACCATCTATGTAGCGCTTGAAAATGCAGGGCTGTAATTCAGCAGAAGACAGGGCTGCATTCTCAAGTGCTGACACGAAAATAATGACCAATTGCGGCGCCAGATGATTCCCCAGGGCGATTTCTTTCAGCTCGCTGTACGGCTGATTGTCAAACTCAAAATATGTTGTTGGTCAGGATGAACTGGAGGGTATCTTGTACATCCTTCACGCCCAGAGCCAATGTATCGACGTCCTCGAGGTGCTTCTCCAGTAATGTGGTTGCGGCTTCTGGTTCGCGTTTCGTTGACCAGCAGTACACCCTTGTGCAGTTCACTGCAGGTAATTGTGTTACATCAGCCATGATTGTATTCGGTGTGGCGTTGTATTGATCTGCTGTTATGGTGTACAGGTCAGGTTGGTGTGGAATTGAGTGCTCCGTCACTTGGTGGTGGATTAACATCACACATAGTCTACTACCTGAATGGATCAAGTACAGCACAGGTTGGGCCGCACTATTTACCATCATGTCTGGCTGTAGGACAGGGTCATGGTGGTAGTGGTCAGTATTTCCGACTGACCAATACTAATACCAGTACAATTGTAGCTGAACAGGGAGCATTTACACTCGAGCAGGATGTTTTCACATCTAGACTACTCTGGAACACATCATCACATGCAACTCTGGACCCAACCTACACTGGACTGTACAGGTGTATTACAGATGTAGGAATGTCACCAGAGACATATCAACTCAATGTTGTAGGTATGTACACAATGACTGTGTGTGTTGTTAGTTATAATGACGAGACACTTGACATAGGTATTCTCAGTATTGTGCATCTACCCAAGATGATGACATCATGGCAAACTCTTCCCTTTCTTGGACAATATTAGTAGGTGCTTGTAAAGTAGAGCGAGGTGTTATTGCAACTCAAGTTTGATGCTCAGGGGATCATTAGTCAAATCAATCTCTTTTCAACGGTAACAATTGGCTCATATCTAAGTATTGTAAAGGAAAGTAAGTGAAGTGACTAGAGGTGGTGTAAGCCAACATTGTTAGTCTTACTATTACATGAGTAAAACATGGCGGGAAACATGCATACACACGCACACATGTGCCCGGGCGCGTGCACACACACACACACACATGCATACTTGCGAGTGCGCGCACACACACACACACACGCACACACACACATGCACACACACACACGGACACACACACGCATGCACACACATGCATACCTGTGCACGCGCGCGCGCGCGAGCGCACACACACACACACACGCACAAACACACACGCACACATGCAAACACATGCATACTCGCATGCATGCACACACACAGACACACACGCACAAGCGCACATGCACACACTTGTGCACACATACACACACCCTTATGCACAGACACACACGCACATATGATATGAGCCACAATCAGCGAAAACGACCCATAGAGGTTTCGAGAAAAAGGTCGATTTGTGACGTTCAACGATTTTTTGATCACGCTGCCAGCAGCGCGACGAGTTCTTTACTTCTTGAACTCCTTGCGCAATTGCTTGAAGTTATTTTTTGAAGTTGAAGTGGTGTGTCGAGTGGCGACTCAAGTGCTTCTTGATCTTGTCACGATGGCTGCATCAGTCATTGTCTACAGTTAGCTCGAGCCTGGTGGTGAGTGGATGCTGAAGTAGCACTGAAGTTCAGAGAGAGGATGAGGCGTTCTTTTCTTCCGACAACGATGTAGACAGCGAGGCGGAATCGCAGTCGTCATCCCGTGCTGCGATGTGGCTCAAGGTGGCCAATGAGTCGGACGATGAGGAGTCATCATCTGAGATAAATTCTGAGTTTGGGGCTAGGGATGGCAGCGACGTCGGACCTTCAGCTGTGGAGGAAGGAAGAAATGGAAGAAAAGATTGTGGAACGACTCCCCGCAGGAGCCCAGCTGTCCATAATTTTTTGATTTTTATTTCACGGATCCTCCAGAGGCAAATAGATGTCTATCGAAGGGAGTCTCCTAAGTAAGTTAGGAAAATGACAAAGTATGTTCGCAAGGGAGAAGAGGTAGAAGATACATTAGAATATAGAGTACAGAAGAAGTAAATTCAGTACTTCGGGTAGTACATTGCATGCTAATCATAATGAGAATTAGAAAAGCAGCATTGCGGACTACTATAACTGACATATACACAAACTATTGAAACTATCATAGATGTGGTTAGCCTAGACACAAAAGTCAGGAATACCTTTCAAAGAAAACATAGATTGCGAATGATGCCGACGAACGGCAATACCAAATTTCGCTGCTGTAGAGAGTGAACGAATATCTTCAGGGAGTTTATTCCAGGCAACACTCAAAGAAAAAAGGGTTGATTTACGAAAGTAGGTGCCAGCTTTAGGAAGAATTATGGATGAAGGGTGACGACTGCTTTGGGAAGAGGGTAGCTGGAAGTGAGACAACAAGGAGGGGTATTGGGAGAATATATGGTGGAAATAGAGGCCAATAAAATAAGGCCAAGAATCTGCCGTCGCCATGCTAAAGATTCCCAAGAGGACAGCACATTGAGGTCTTCTTTGGAAGTCGTCCACTCAGGCCGACGCTTGAGTTTACTATTTAAGTATGCTCTAGCAGCAGAAGCCTGCAGTTTATCAAGGGTTGTGGACATGGTGGCTGAAACGGAAAACATCCAAACGGGAAAAGCATATTCAAGGAGGGGACGAACATAACATTTATACAAAAAATTCACAGCAGGAAAAGGAAGGAAGTTGGACATGTGGTTTAGGCCACACTTTGTTTTTTCTATGTTTCTCGTCGGCAAATTTTAACAAAAGGTACGCGGGCGGGCGGAAAAAAACAAAAGCCAAGGAAAAAACAAGAACACTTTCTACTGAAAACTGTATACATTTTTCAATGTACATGTTTTGTTTGTTTTTTCTCTACAAAATCGATGTATATGCGTGATTCATACAAGACACTGCGAATACCATGTATACAGTACTACATTGTACAATCATGCGCTGTAGAGGCAGAAAATTTCGTCGGTCAATAATTTCGTCCAACTCCAAAGAAAAGGAGTTCGCCCGGTTGAAAATTTCGTCCATGGATCATAAGAGTGTATAGAAAAGCTGGACAAATCGATATTCGTCCTACATTTAATTTAGTCCAAAAGCCCCTTGGACGAAAAAGACGAAATTAAATTCCAGACGAATATTTCTGCTTGTACAGTACATGTAGTCCAATACATGATTGCACTACATTATCACATCAGCCCACGAATATCAGGCAAACTGCTACAATGAGAGCATAAAGTTTGATTACGAGATGGCGAAGAGAACATACATTTATCTGCTATCGCATCAACAAACGTTTCCCACTCGTCATTAATTTGTGGTTTTGTTACTTCAACGTTCTTGTGTCTGCTTATCAAACTCTTGTCTCCATGCTGCTCATATTTCCTTGCCATGCGTCTATTGCTTGGATTTTCTGCTTACGACATCGTTCCACAGATGCCAGTTGCAACGGAACTCGTCCGACTTACGGTATTCCTGGGACCCACAAGGCTCAGGCAGTGAACGACTGAAAGCTTCGTGATGACAGCCTTCATCGCAGAGAACGGACGAGGAGCGCTCCTTTGCTGCTGTGTTGCAAACGTATACGATTATTGATTGACGCATCTAACTGCTGCAGCATGTGCAGCGTACATACATGTACGTAGTATGAACCTTTTTTTTTTCTTCCGAAATGTCTGAAAACCTACGCGGGCGATGACGAGAAACATAGAAAAAACAAAGTGTGGCCTTAAAAGAAAAACCCGACCTCGAAATTTGCTGGTAATGTGTTGAATATGGGGGGACAGATTGAGTGAAGGAGTGAGGATGATGCCCAGATAGCGGTGGGAAGAGGGCTGGGTCAGTAACGTGCCGGCCATGGTGACGGTCCTGGGATCAGATGGGTTTGATTTAGGTCTGCAAAAGGGAACATGGACACATTTGTTAGCATTGAAAACTGCTTCAGCTTTATGGGACCAGTTCACACATCTATCAAGGTCTAGTTGCAAGGAGGCAGTGTGCGCGGCGGGTACGACAGTAGGCGGAGAAACGCAGACCATGTTGGAATCATCCGCAAACAGAGTCAGATCGCTAGATTGGGGAATGCTGGGAAGCGAGTTGATAGAAAGGTTGAATAATAGAGGGCATAGGTGGGAGCCTTGTGGCACACCAGCGGTGAGCGACATATGGGTTGATAATGCAGTGCCGACCCGCACAGACATCGATCGGCCTTCCAGGAAGTCCATCAGCCACGCGAATGAGTCAGGTGCACACCAACCGGACAGACATGAGGCTAGGAGGCGATGGCTGGTACGATCAAATGCCTTCGAGAAATCGAGAAAGACGCCATCACACTGGGCCCGGTTATTAAATGCAGAGCTGACAGTTGATGTGACATACACAAGTCGGTCAACCGTGCATCGGTGGTGGCGAAACTCGAACTGTTTCGGCGACAGTAGTTTGTGTTTCGCTACAAACGCGTACACCTGGGGGCTGATTAATGCTTCGTAGCATTTTGCCACACAATTCAGCAGGGATATCGGCCGGTAGTTAGCAGGGTCATTGCGAATTCCCTTACCCTGGTAAATTGGGGTAACGATTGCAACTTTCCACTCAAGGGGTTGGGATCGGTAAGTGGTGCAGCGGTTAAAGAGAGCAGTGAGGGATTAGGCGAGTACTTCTGCTGTCTCTCATAGGATCCTGTTAGGAAAACTGCCAGCTGTAGACTTTCGCACACTTAGGGTCGACAGTGCCTTGAATACTTCTACGATAAACAGAGGGCGGATGGCAAATGTTTCCGAAGAAGAAGGCATGGCGAGATCACGATAATCTGCATCCGACGACGGTGTAGCTTGGCTATTCTTGGCGAACTGTTTACAGATGATGTTCGCTTTCTCAGATAATGTATCCAAACCCTGCTGGGAGAGTACGCGTGTACTCGAGTCTGCTGAGCACGGTTTTTCTTCCTTTTTTCAGCTCCAGTTTAGCTGTATTTTTCATTGCAAAGCCGTCCTCGATTGCTGTGTTCGTTGTTCAAACGAAGTGGACATTCAATGAAGAAGGCAGAGGACATAGGAGCCTGATTGGAGTTTCTCGTGGCATAGTACGGCCACACAGAGAGTCAGAGACACTTTGCGATTTTCTGAATATAAATACCATACGCACGATTCAGAGTTCATTTTGTGCGATATCAAAATTGTTTGTGATGCACCACATTGAGCCGAACACGATCCAAACACAAGCTTACCAACGGTTAGGCTGCCGACCTGACTGGACAAATGATCCCTGGCTTCACCAGACGCCAGAAGTCGGAAACCATGTCTTTTGCCGCGACGTCCATCTTCAAAAAGAACTCCATCTTCGTCGTGAAAAGGCTTGAAATACTCGATATTCAGCGGAGATTCGCGGTCTCATGCTTTCTCAGATTGAATCCTTTTTGTTGTAGCAGTTGCAGGGCAGATCCCGGCACTACTTCAACAGGGTTCCGCTTCAAGGTATACTACAAACAGAATTTGAAAAGGTATGGTTTGCTGAGCGATTGTTCTACCTACGTCATTCAAACTTTGCAGGATGGTTCTGACCTACATGGTAGGCATGGAACAACAGGGTTTCATGTCATAGCTGACACACAAAGTCACACACACAGCAGATCCGTGTGCACGGCCACTGAATTTGTGGACGTCGTCATCTTCTTCCCGCTGGTCTCAAATGTACGATGACGTGCTATTTCGCCTGACGTTACTGCACTATTTCAAAGGTATTCAAGCTGCTTACTTTTCTCATCTGAGGTACTTCAGTAGATGTGTTTCAACAAATTTCTAACCATAAAGGAATTTTGAAATTTTTCCTATTTTCGCTGGTTGAGGCCCATATATTCAATCTGCGTACAGAACTGTTTCGTCCTTTGTGGGCTTTTCCAAAGCCAGATTTAAACCAGACGCGAACGTACCTTGCCAGAGTGCTCAAACTGACAAGTCAGTGAGGTCTGCATAACACAAACAACAGAGGCACTACTAGTGCTCAACTACTACAAGAGCAGGAGCGAAAAACTCAATCTGCGGACAGAACTGCATCGACCTTTGTGAACTCATCAGCCCAGCGCAGAGAAAATGAGGCCGAACCTGATAACAATGAAACATAAAATTTCCAAAGCCAGACAATCCCCAAACGATATACAGAGTAAGATCAGATCCCACATCTGTGAAAAGGGTGCTCAACATCAAAGATGGAGCAATGACACACAACTCATCAACCGATGATTAGCTAAGAAATTTGTTGTTACTCCGAGTTTCGTGCAAGAGCACTCATCAGACAACTTCATACTGACACTCAAAGTAGAAAACACCAAATAAATACTAGTAGTCGACATTGGGCTGGAACATGGAGGATGTCAGTGCTAGGTCTGATAATCTGTACCAATGGATTGTGCTCTTTAGGAGCTATCAATGGGGAGCAGGTGATAAAATTGTAAAATTTGGAGGTCAGCGTTTTTATTGTATTTCAAGGATTACCCAAAGGCTCTAGTGGGAGTGATCATGTTGTTGCAAGTCCAGTTCGGATCGGACTAACATTCCGCCAGATGCGGAAGTACCTGTCCTCAGTGTACAGCCAGAACATGATGAAGAACAGCATGATATGCTCCAAAATATATTTTGTGCACGGATGTAGTACAGTAATAAGACTGATATCATCAGTGATGATTGTACTAACTGACATACGTCTGGAATACATACATAATCAGTATGTTGGATAGCTTCGTGGCATGTATGTGGGACAGTAATAATTATGATGTCATCACCCCCCCCCCCCCCCCCAGCCAAATCATGGAAACAACACTGCATACAGATATGCAAACACACAAGCACACATGCACACACACACACACACACACCCACGCGCATGCACACTCACACACACACGCACCCACCCACGCGCATGCACACTCACACACACGTAATTTTGTGAACATTAAAATCCGGCGGAATGACCGATGCCAGCACCATTTCATGAGTAAACGCACTATAGTCAACGTAACCACTGCAAAAATGCACCAGCTGGGTCTAGCAATCATTTCCTGCAATGCATAGTCCACATGGGATAAATAGTTTATTAAACACAGAGCCTCATGTGGAGGTTCACTCGAGATTTCGTTCTAGGCTGAGCCTTTTTTTCAATGAACTATTCGAATGGGACCTGTCACATCAAGCTTAACGTTTGGGCTATTGCTCTTGCAGTACTGGCCACTGACCTCAGACCGACGGCGTCATAGCGCGGTTGGGAGTGTACCCCGTGAAAAAGGGGGGGGGTGGCCAACAGGGCACGTTTCAGCGTTCTACAGCTCCAAATACCCAAAGGACAACTAATATCTCATATGGATGTTTTGGTATTTTCTGTACATCGCATGTAGACATAAAGGAAGCCATTCACCTCGAAAATTCCCAAAATCCGAAGTACAGTGGATATCGGTTATAAAGTCATCGGACATAGTGATAAACCGGCTATATTGATACAAAATGAAAATATCAAAAGCAAAACCAGAAAAAGCCAGTCAAATTATCATTATAACCAATATATCGTATATAGCGATAAATCGGCTATAAGGATACAGAATCACCATTCAAAACACCTCTTTGTGCAGAAAAAGTATCGTCTATAGTGATAGCAACACACGAGTGTGAGGCATTGATGTCTCGATTTGGAGCCACATGTGTGTTTCCATAGGGTATTCTGGTCTGGTGCTTCCTGGATGATGCCTTTGGGCCAAGAAGTTCTTCGCTCTAGACTGGAGAAGGTGCAGTAGCATCCATCACGTATCAGTACGCTACATTAGCGCGATCGAGTACCCACACGTGTATAATGTGTATGTATGACGCGCGCAGTTGAAAATCGCCTGTAGTGATATACCGGTTATAGTGATAAAATGTGAAAAATCAGAAGGGCACGTTATAACCAATATCTACTGTACAAGCATGCTGTACGTTCTAGCACCAGCCGCTGTGCTAACATGTACATCGTGTCCAGCAAAAGTGAGGACCTACATCCCTATATGCGATACATGTGATATGTATATGTACATGGCCGGCCCGGACAGTCACGAGTTTTTTTTGGAGTGAGAAGCAGATCCTTTTTTTTTGTTCGGTGGGATGGAACGATCTGCCAGTGGACTGGAGAGCTACAACACTCAACGCAGAAGAAAGGGCTTGCGGGATATTCTTCGTGGCAACATGACTTTAGTTTGCGAGAGACTTTCGTCCTTTCGTTGCGGGCGCAATTCTTGTTTCTGCCCCAGAACACTTGTAGAACGAAACGATCATAAGTCGTTTGGTGAAGTGAGTCAGGTCAGTGAACAGCTGCGAAATGTTCTGGCATCAACGAGCATCAGTCCAAACACTTTCCAACTTCGGAGAATGAATCACTTCCCTGTCCCTTTGACCAACGCGGCGTTCGGGGGGTGTAATTTACTTTCGCATCGAGTGTGTAGAAAGAATATAATTATTGTGTTGTAGCTGACATACCGGTAATGTCTCCTGACCGTGCTGGTCGCCATTGTAACATGGTAGTTCTTGGACATGTTTATTTCTGGACCTAGTCAGCACCGCCAGCGCTATTTCCATCAAGGTTTGCATACCGTCAACTTTAGTCTGTATGTGACACGAGAGAGCTTGGAAGTTCAGGGCCCTATGCTATGCTTTTTGCCTAGCTCATCATGAATGTTATTAGAGCTGATGGAAATATTTTTTCCATTGATTGGATACATAATTGTCGTCTACCACCTAAGTCCTAAATGACCTAGGCTAGAAAAGCATAGGGATGTTATAAATTATTATTATTATTTATTTTTTCAAGACATACTGTAACCTGGG